GTGTCCAGTATTTTGCTTTTACAAAGTTTGCTGTAAATGTAAATTTATAAAATCCAGGCATCAAAAGTTTAGGTATAAACGTCCTTATGAACTAAGGCTAGTTAAATCAGAATGAAAAGGCTTCACATGATTTTGCAAATTTAATATATGAAAATTACATTTTCTTTGAAGTTTTAAATAATGCTTTAAATTGTTTATTGTCAACTGTATTATAAACAAGGAGTGCATAGTTGTTTCTTTTTCTGTATAGTTTAAGTAACAGTAATCTGAATCCTTGATAATAGACCTTGATCAGTTTTTATGGCTTCCCAGTGTGTCCAGCCCTGACCTCATCTGCTTTTTGCCTGGAGTTTGTTACCTGTATTTTAGAAGCTTGTTATTATTATCATTGTTATTGCTATTATCATAGCTTTACTATCCAAGTCTTAATTTATATACCATATATTGTTCAGTTTTGCCTCTTTGATTTTTCTGTAAATTCAGTTATTACTCTGGGTTCTTCAGTGACTTGTTTTCCTTGGTGATTTGTTTTCCTCAGTGACTTGTTTTCATAGATGTTGGTGTCTGTAGCTTTAGTCTACCCATGTGCCTATGTATGTATGTTCCCGTTGTGTGAATGGGCCACCATTTAACTATCCATTATAGAGCTCACAGGGTTTGGGTTGTTTAAATGTGATTTTGGCTGTTATGAATATTGCTGCCCTTCTCTTCATTCTGTTTCCAGGATCCAAGTGCTCTTGCACGGTAACTCTCCAGTGAGGGGAAGTCACTGATTCCAGATCATAGGTTCAAATTTACTAGGGAATGCTGATGCATTTTACAAAGTTTCCTCCTATAAAGTATGCGTATGTATTTTATTTGTTCTGTTTGCTTGCCAGCCTTGGGGATTATCTAATGAATTAATTTTAGCTCTTGTAAAGAGTATGAAATGGTATCTTATTTTGATCTCTTCTGCGATTTTCTTACACTACTCAACTACTGACAAACTGCATATTTTTCTATGTTAATTTATATTGATATGTCTTTTTAGGGCTTTATAAACTTTGGAGATTTTCTCTTAGTTTGTAGCTTATATTTTTACTAATTTTTTCTGCTCTTTGATGATTGTGAGTTTTAATATAGTTGAATTTGTCAATCTCTTCCCTTATGTCTTACTCTTAAGAATTTCTTTTCCCTATCCTGATGTCATAACTTCTGAAAATTTTATGATTTTACATTTTCAGATTTAAAACTAATTTACCTGGAATTGATGTTTGCATATGGAGTGTATTGAAATAATTATTCCATTTAGACAGTCAATGTTGTTTTTGTTAGGTGCAGTCAAGTCAGTTCTGACTCATAGTGACCCTGTGTACTACAGAACGGAACACTGCTTGGTCCTGTACCATCCTCATGATCGTTATGCTTGAGCCCACTGTTGTGGCCACTGTGTCAATCCATCTCATTGAGGGTCTTCCTCTTTTTCACTGACCCTCTACTTTAGCAAGCATGATGTACTTCTCCAGGGACTGATCCCTCCTGATAACATGTCCAAAGTATGTGAGATGAAGTTTTGCCATCCTTGCTCCTAAGGAGCATTCTAGCTGTATTTCTTCTGAGACAAACTTGTTCGTTCTTCTAGCAGTCCATGGTATATTCAGTATTCTTTGCCAACACCATAATTCAAAGGCATCAGTCCTTCAGTTTTCCTTATTCATTGTCCAGCTTTCACATGCATATGAGGCACTTGAGTCAGGCGCATCTTAGTCCTTAAAGTGACATCTTTATTTTTCAACACTTCAAAGAGATCTTTTGCAGCAGATTTGCTCAATGCATGGAGTGCATAGAAGTAGATAAATTATTCCATTTAGACAATAGTTGATACTCTCCCACATATTAAAGTGTGAGTGCTTTTGTCCCTGCCCTGCAGTGCTTGCTGTGTCATGAATCAACTTTTTATATAGATTAGTGGGTCTTTTCCTGGGATTTTTTTTTTTTTCATTATTCTGTTGTGTATTCTTATATGATTACTATACAACACATTATAGCTTTATTTATGAAATAAATCTGAAAATAATTTTATATATATTTGGACAAATCTCCATGCCTTATTCCGTAGAACATCTGGCCTATTTGTGGATATTTGCACTTCCATATACATTTTTAAGGTTTTTTTTTTGTGGAGTTCTAGAAATTATAAAATTGCTTGGAGTTTTATGGAAGTGCATTGGAAATAATGATCTATTTGTGGAGAACAGTTTTCTAAGAGCATGCTTTACCTTTCCATTTACTTCAATCTATTTGGAAGTCATTTATTAATGTTTCATAATTTTTTCATTAGGATCTTTTGTTCACTTTATTACATTTCTTTTTAGTAAATTATTTTTTCCAAAATAATCTTTTAAAAATTTCTCTACTGCATGGTGCTAGTATTATAAGTGAAATATTTAAAATAAACTTTACTTTGGTATCTATTTTGTAATCTGAAACTTGCTAAAATCTCTCAGTTCTGTAATCATCAGTACAATCTTTTAGACTCCTACATATGTAATTATTTAACTTATAAAATGGAATGGGGTGGGGGTTTCTTTGTCCTCGTTAATATTTTTGTTTCCTTTTTTTTCTTTATTGGTAGATATCGTCTATAACCTCTAATGATAATGTTGAATACGAGTGGAATAATGGCTATTCCTATTTTTTACCTGTTTTTACTGGGAAATTGTTGATCTTTTCAGTATTTTTTATATGTCCACTTTCAGGTTGTGTATGTTTTTTTTCATTTCTATATTTCATAAGTGTTTTTGACATACATAAACATTTATAATGGATGTACAGTTGAGCAAAATGTAAAATGGATATCCATGTAATGGAGATACCCACGCTCCTGACACATCCCCTTTCCCCAAAATAAGTTGATTTTTTTTCTTTTAAAGTACATTCAAATGTGTTTATTAACTGTATCTTTTTTTTTTTTTAATTGTACTTCAGGTGAACGGTTACAGAATAGTTTCTCGTGAAACAGTAGTACACATATTGTTTTATGACATTGGTTAACAACCCCACAACATATCAACCCTCTAACTTCTCAACCTTTTTTTTTGGTGAAACTACACATCGCCAAAGATACACCATTACAAAAATTTCTACATGCACAGTTCAGTGACATTGACTACGCTCTTCCAATTATGCTGCTATTC